TTTGATGCTGCATTGCCTCATCAGACAAATTTATCTTCTAGAAGGATTTTGGGGAGAATATTGAGTTTGTGGAGAAGACTGCAAAAAGCTATTGCTCCAGCCTGCTTAATGATCCATCTAAGAACATACTCAGATTTTTAGTGCATATCTAGACAGGTGATATAACAGTTTATAGGTGCACCTCTAAAAATCTGGATGACCTGATCCTGGATCACAAGTGAAACACTTGGTAGGTATGGCATATACATATTATTTTGCACCCCTTTTATACTCATTATGTTCACTGGTGATGATTCATTGCAGTAAGTTACTGTAACTCCCAATCCACTGAGTGTTGTTGATATGGAACTGGTTTCAGGACTCTTGGCTAACTTGCAGACACTCCAATGGTTCCCACCCTAACCAGATTTAAACAACATGAATTGAACATTACAGATCTTACAAAATTCTCTACAGCTACCCTCTATAAACACAATTAACTTAAAGAGAACTTGAAATGTTCCTATGCAACAAATCCTGTACTATGTAGTCTCTATGCTATATCTTGTTGCCTGCTATTCAGACAAAGGGAGGAACTTTCTCTAATTATTTAATACTTCAGTTTATAAAGTTTATCTTTCTAGAATTTATCTACTTAGTTGTTTTTTTTTAAAACTAATTTCATCTAAAAGCATTTACTCTGTGAACTTCAAACTCAGAATATCTATCTTTACCTGGAAATGTTCTTAAAGCAGTTTGCTGTCACCATTACCTAATATTTGTAAATACTGGCTGGTTTATTGGTTTGTATAAACTGTTCAACACCTGGCTGCCATTTTTTGTGATTTTTTGGCATCTCACATTCTACAAAATGTACATGTAAGACTATGTGTGCAGCTGCCAAAAAAAAAAAAAAAATAACTGTGCTTTGATCTCCAATCAAGAAATTAATCCCCAATTAGATTTGAAGGCTTTTCCAGAACTACTTAAATAGACTGGTCCACAAATAAAAAAGAGAAGGTTATTGCAAGGAATAATTTTTGTAGCTTTGTTAGATATTCCTCAAACCAGAACATTTGTTGTAATCATAAAATATTGATATTTTTTTAGAAATTGGGGGTGTCAAAGTTCATAATATCAATACAGTGTCAAATTGATCCCTGGCATTTTACTGAGTTATTGTACTTAGCTGTTATTTACAAATGTCAAGTGTAAACTGTGCTTGTATCATTGATATCTGTATATATATTTTTAAAATTTTTAAGTTTTTCATTTTTTTTTAATACACTTTTTAAAACATTTTTATAGACCTTTTGGGGGAGATTTTTGGAGGCACATGCACAAACACTGGGAAAGAATAAATGCATATACAATGTGCGATGAATAAACTGTCATCTAAGTTACACAAAAATATAACACTGACATCTCATTTTAACAGATATATTTACCAAAATTACAAAAGAAATATCTTGAAATACTAAAGAATAAATTTATTCAATAAAATTGTCACTTCAGTTCATCTTTGGTGTTAGAAGGAGTTTTGTTGGTCTCTTACTCAACTGTACCCCACACATGATAATCAAGAGGGTTACAGTTTGGAGAGTTAAGTAGCCAGATGTTCAGGGTAATGTGGTTGCAGAAATTGCCTGACAGCCACAACCAGGCTCTCCTGTTTGTGTGGCATGTTGCAGAGTCCTGTTGCCAGACACAGGGTCTTCCAGCAGCCACCCTCTTGACCCAGCGCAGCACTACCTTTTCAAGGCACTTGATGTAGGTCTCTGTGTTGAGTCTGAGAACCTCACCAACAAATTCAGGAGTTCTTTTCTTATCAGAATAATCAGAGTGAGTTTTCTGAGCTGCTGTACCTTTGTAATCACCATTAGACTCATCCAGCTCTTTCTGAATTCTTTGTCCCCAGATTGACACCCAAACACTCTGAAATGTTATTATTGGAGTTTCTAGCACAAATGCCAAGTAGTACAGTATGGTATTTCCAAAATTTTGGATGAATTAATTGCATCATGGTGCTCTTTTTTCCTCACAAAATGGTACCCAACTGATACTACTATACTGTGCATTTGAAAAAATCAAAACAAGTAATGCAAATGCACAAAATTAAAACTATAAAATGGCGACAATATACCCATCACACGCTGTATACTTTTATTAATTTATGTAAATTTTTATTCTTTAATTAAAAATATATTTATCCATTCTTTATTTAAAAGTATTTTTGTAACTGAAAAAAAGTCTGTTTTTGTATGCAGAAAAAACAGGTCCAGATAAACCTGTGAAAAAAAAAAATTAGGGATCAATTTTTCACTATGTCAATATATTGAACAGGACCTCCCCTGAATTCTAAAATTGTAGAAAAAAATCAATATTTTATGATTCTGACAAAAGTCACACTTTGAGGAAGGTTTAATGAATATGAATCCAATAAAATTATTTCCAAAATAATTTTCTCTTCCATCTTTTTTTTTTTTACAAGTGGACTACATAAATAGTGCTACTTTCCCCATAATTCCTGACAGAAACAAATAAAATACAGGTGTACAGCATATATGACGGTTCCGTATAGGATGCAGGTTCGAATCCTGTCAAAGAACGAAAATTTTCTATGAAAATTTCTCGGACATTCAGGCCGGTAAATGTTATTTAATACTGTTTATCATAAACAGAGCATTTGCTTAAATACTTGTATCTATAAAATAACAACGTTAAACATAAAATATGTCTTTAATAAATAAATTGTCGGACCTTGTCCATTTCTTAATATATATATATATATATATATATATATAAAGTACTGCATATATATAACATATAGAAATTATACATATATATATAGGATTAATGCAAACAAACATTGTCACTTAGCTGATTGATATTTTAAAAAGCACCTTAATATATTTTCTTAATCAGTTCATTTATTTATCTTTTTATATTTATTTTTTTTTTATCGATTCATTTTTTACAGATTTATTTTTCTCATGAGTAAATAAACTGCTCTACTACCTTACCAGTAAGTTATAAATATTGACATATTGCAATGGCCACCTTTTTAATTTGTGCCTTATGATTGCAAGGTGCATGAAACTCAGAATTACATCACATTGTGTGGAACAAATGTATATTTATTCTTAGCATAAATTTTACCTGTTAATTTAAATCAAGCACTGTTTTATTATTATCACCAGCACTCACTGTGCACTATTGTATATATATATATATATATATATATATATATATATATATATTATTATTAAATTAGCTCTAATGATTTTGATATTTCTAATTTAATAATATATATTGCACTAGCCTAATATTGAGCATATTATTAGCACAAATTTTGTTAAATCTAGCATACATTAAAATGTATAATTTTATTTATGAGGTCTGATCAAAAAGTATCAGGACTGTTGCTATGTTAATGGAGCTAAAGTATGCAGAGTGAAACTTCTTGGCACAGATCAACTTTGAACACTGTTGCACATAACATTCTTGCTCGCTTCTGTTGTTTATAGTAGTGTTTGGAAGAAAAGTGTGTAGAGTGGTCGTCTCACCACACCACAGAAATTGCATCAGTGACCATGGATTCTTGGTCAAGCACAACATTCTCCAGATCTTTCCTCTTGTGACTTTATCCTCTTCAAAAACCAAATCCCAGTTGAAAGGAACAAAATTTTAAAGCTCTAGGAAATCCAATAGAATGTGACTAGGCAGCTGCTCACTATCGCAAGAAAGGAGTTCCAAAAATGCTTTCATCAATGGCTGACAACAAGTCTAGGTGAAGGAAAACTCTGAATTCAGAACCATATTTAGCACATGCAACTAACAGTAAAAACTGAGTTCTCATTGACCCTATAATTTCAACTGTGGATGATCTACAAATGCGTAAATGTATTATTATTATGCTTTTTTATTTTATATATATATATATATATATATATATATATATAATTTGAAATAGCGAGTTCATTATTTTAGGAGTTGAGAACTGATTAATTCTGTCAAGGTTATCTATGAGTGTAACAGCTTTTACTACTCCTGTCTGGACCAGTGAGGAAATTATAGAAGGTTGTATGGCTCATCCACATATTATTTTTTTTCCTTCAAACATTATTGCATGCCAGCGAGAAAACATTTTCTTAAGATATCTGTTGATGAGGCAGAATACAAATAAAATGGATTTATAACTTTCCAAAAATCTTTAGAATGTAAACTAACTCATCTATTACTTGGAATTGGACCACTGGTTCCATCTTCCATGTAAGCAGTAATTTCTATGTTCTGTATCATAATATACATTTGTTTTAAGAACATCTATAATGATGATGAGGATATCTAGCAATTTTTTCTTTTATTTATTCACTAAATAATACACTGCAAATAGTCAACTATTGTCAAAAAAAAGTTGTAAACAAAATAAAAAAAATCCTGAATTCTGCATTTATCTATTGCTTGCAAACTCTTGGTAATAATCTGTGCTCAATCATGACAAAGATTTGTCTTTAAAGGAACAAAAAAGTCCAATAAAATGAGGCAAAGAAATAAGAGTAGATCATTGCTGTCAGCTATGAAGGCATAAGATAAAATGCTGTTGTTTTAGGTTGATGCATAACAAGTTCAAAATGCCTTATCTAAGCCAGAAATATTTCTCATGCACATGTACTGAAGAAATTAATGAAAAAAAAAAGTAAATTTTTCAGAGTGAAGTTGTTTCCTCATATCCTTCACTTTTTGATTTCTTCCTTATTTTATAGAAGATAACTTTGAGCTGCATTAAAACTCATGACAAACTGAAATATTCAGTTACAATGAAATGAAATAAAGATAGAAAATCCATGAAGCTTTCCAACTATTATGGATTTTAATGAAAGATAAAGCAAAGCGATTAAAAGAATTTGAAGGTTTATCTTTTAAGAAGTATTATTAATATTATTTCTATTTTGCCTGATTTGCTGCTTGATATAATCCAAAACTTTTTACCCGAGACCTGAGCTAAAGGATGGCTTATGACCTTATTACATATGATCACCGAAGTTAAGCAATATTGAGCTTGCTTAGTACCTAGATGAGTGGCTGCCTGGGAATACCTGGGGTTGTATGATTGGATGTGCAGGTGCTGTAATGGATAATGGCTCAGAATTAGAATTTTGAGAGCTTCAATTCCAATCAGGTTCATTATATTCACTTATGTGTAAGTAATCTTGGGAAAGGTATGAATCCACTTCTTTTTTCTCCCAGCTATGGATTAGTAGGACTTTTATCAGTAAATCAATTTCTCCAACAAAAAATTCTTACCCACTAAAATATTTTCTGGCTTTAAATAACCTACAAAATGTTGATAAGCCATAAAAAACAAATCAATCACTCATGAGCTAAAAGAAGATTTTCCTTTGAAAACTATTCAACATTTTAGATTGTGAGAGTTTTTCAGTGAATATAAACAGTACTCATGAGTACAATCTTTTGTATATTAGTGATGGGTTTTCTATGGTTTTCTTCATGTATGTGTTAGTATCCTTTTAATTGTTCTTGGTACTCCTATTATTATTGGATTAGTAGTTGTTTAAATGCCACATTCTTGCAATATCTATTTCCAGTTTGTTATATTTTGAAAAGTTTGTTAAATTTATTTTCTGAGATGTTTTTATTACATGGAATGTCCATGTCTATGAGATTGTACTTATGTTGTTTGAATTCTTTTATTATTCTATTAAACGATCAAAAGCAAATGCTCTTAACACAACACTGAAAATCTGACTTGCAGTTGAAAAAAAAAATCGCAAGAAACTGACATAGCTACACTAAAACCAGTACCTTGTCCAGTTGCAAAAGCTGCTGGTAGCACCAGGGGTGGCAATACTGCCTCAAACACAAAACTGGCTGGCAGCTGATGGGGGCAGGGTATCGCATATGTTTTCACACATTGTATGTAGAAAAAAATCTGAACTATTGGCTTGTATAATACAGGCAGTATTTATGGTGAAACCCAACTGCACTGAATCATTTTCACCTTCTTTTCATCATTATTATTATTATTATTATTATTATATCCCACATTGATATAGTCAATTGAAATTCAGTTCTTGAGGCATGGTTTCTACAAGACTCCTCATAACTCAAGAACTTTCTGGAGAATCCTTGTAGAGTAAATGATGGCAATTTTTGTGGGGTTTACAATCTCATTTGCAGTTCTAATCCTCTCTAAGCACCTTTTCACATTTTCCAGGTGGTGTTTGAAGCCACATCTAAAGAAGAGCATAGAGAGAAAGCTTATCTCAAAGAAGTATTTGATCTTTTGTCCAACTAAATTCAATATCTATTTATCTATTACTTGAAATGTATATTTTTGTGCATCTGGCCTTTGCAGAATGAGAAGTGCTGCCAAGGAAGACTGGTCAAATATAATCATATTCTTATTGTATTCTGTATATACATATTTAATGTAGTTATATAGGCCCACATATTGAAACAATCACTATATTACACATTGATTATCTTTCCATGTTTTCATCTAACCTAAGCAAACTCATATCATCTTTGTTTAGTAAAAACAAACTTACCAATTCTGACATTTACCCAATTCTTGTTTTACACAAATCAGACATACAATATTTAGTCTGAACAAATATTTTTGGAAATAGATACTTTTGTTTTCTCTTGTTAACAGCCTACATTGCTTTTTGCAATATATATATATATATATATATATATATATATATATATAGTGCAGAGTGAATGCTGGAAGTATAAAACAGTGTCTGATGCAAAAGAACAGAGCTAAGATAGATATTAAAAAATTGCATCATTGTTTCTCACTGCATGGTGCTAACATTATCAGGCATATACTTGGAATAGTCTGTTTTAACACTCCTTTACTTAAGCTTACAACCACATTACATTGAAGCTCCGGTTTCCATATGATCACTAAAGTTAACCAATCTCGAGGCTGGTCAGTACCTAGATAGGCAACCACTTGGGAAGAAGTGTTAATCGCAAAAGGATACTTTAAAGAACACTTTTTTGTATATTTAAGGCAATATACAAATTCTGTGGTGTCAATCTTTTGTTTATATATATATATATATATATATATATATATATATATATATATATACAGTAAGTAATCCGTTGGTATATAATTTTATGGTATATTAATGTTTTTAATAAACAGAGCAATATATATACAATTGAAATTAAGATACCATTATATAAATCATTGTTTTGACTTTGTAAAATTAAATTTACAGATGTTTTCAAAGTCAATGGATGATAAATTATTGCAATAAAAAATTCCCAAACAGGGGGAGAAAAGAAAAGAAGAAAATAAAGAGAAAAAAGAAGATGAAGAATAAAAAGGTAAGGGAAGGTAGCAAAGGAAAGTGGAAGTGTTGTAAGTCTTGATATGAGTAGTGGTCAGAAAAGGGAAAGAAAGAGAATGGAAAAAGAAGGAAAGGAGAGAAAAGATGACCTATTTAATATACCCAGTAGTAAACAGATAGTAGACTGAAGAAAATTAAGGAAAAAAAACAAATTTTATATAAAATAATAAGAGATGAATCCAAAAATATGAGAGATAAATCAGAATAAAAGAGTATTAAATTAACTAATATATAGGAGAGAATATTAAGAGAAATATAAAATAAATTAAATATAAATATCTTAGGATGAATACATCCAAATCAACATATATGAAATTAAACTTATATTAATTAATACCCACTCACAAGGGGAAAAAATTTATATTTGAAATTTGATATATAATATAAAAAAAACCCTTAAAATTAGACAAAAACCTTTTGGAACAAAGGTGTTAAAAGGTGCCTTTAGAAAAAATACTATATAAAAAATAACTAATATATTAATTAATTAATTAATAGTAACAAAAAATTTTAAAATAAATATATATTTGAGAAATATATGAATATTGTCATAATTTCAAACAGTCCTGTAAAGGTCACAGTCCAAATTGTGCAATATACTAATATTTTTGAAAATTACATTTAGTAATTCTGTTTTAAATCACTAATCTTTAAACTTGATGACTATTTCTAAAAGTAAAAAAAATGCCAATCATTTGTTTTGAAACCATTACTTTTTGTTTTTAATGAAAGCCACAACATTTAAATCTTTACTGAACAATAAACTCTTGAGAGAGAAAACACAAGAAGAACTGTTTTTTGCCCCCTGATATTTGAAGTAGTCGGGAAGTTTTTCTTCCACTCAAAGCAATTGTTCAGTTTTGCCAGCGACAAGAAGACAATTGATTACTAACTCTAGACTTGCATTTTATTTTAATAAAAGGCAATGCATCATGCCACTGTTACTTGAAGGAATTATTTTTCTTCTTGCTCAATATCAATCTATAAATCACTTGCCTTGAGCAGAGACAAATATTTTCAGGAAGAAAATGATGAAAATCACAAATTAACAAAATGAATGAACAAAAGCTGATTTTACATATATATTTTTTTTATTTTTCAAAGATTAAAACTAAAGGGAAAAAAAAAACAATTACATTCAATGCAATGTCTTCCTTTTAATTTCATAACTTACTGATTTGTGAATCTTTATTAAGATATTTCCAAAAAGAATACTTCACTTTATTACACCTTCTTCATTCATGGTCACCATTAGGCAATATTCAAGTCTAATCAAACACTTTTCCCCAATGTTAGTTTTAATTTTTCATATTTCATTTACTTTTCATGTTTACACATTTTTCTGACTAATATCTTTATCTTTATTGTTTTTTATCACTATATTTCTTCTCCCATATTTTTCAACCCTATTAGGGGTGCATTACATAAGAAAGTCTTTAGAAGTCACTTGCTTCTTTTTCTTCATTCTCATTCTTTCAGCTTTTCTAGAGGAACATCACAACTTAACAAAGTAAAAAAAAACAAAAAACAAATTACAAAATCTCATGCTCGTGAGAGAACTCTCTGGCTAGATTGAAAAGACCTGTTCCTTTTTACCAAACATTAATTTCTTATATAAGATGTCTTACCTGCAAAAAACTCTTCTGATGAGCTTCGTTATTCACTCCTTGATATAGTATTAATAAGTTTCTAAAGACCTCCTGAAAACCTGAAGAATATTGAAGGACACCTACAGCCTGTTTTTATCCTTAGTAAAATATTTAATTAAATTTTCAGCCATTTTTAGTTGTTAGTTTTTGAGATATTTGGAATTTACATAAATGGACTGACTGAAGTTAGCATGCAGATTAAACTAATATTAGCTTAAGACCTCTGAAATCTAATAAAAACTACCTTTTTCTTTTTGTCCATAATGTATGCTGAAATCCATTAAAGGGAAGGATCTAACAAATGCTGAAAAGCAAAAAATAACAAAATTATTGAGTGACGGGAATGTGGCATTGGAGATGTCAAATCAAGCTTTGCAGAGATCATCAAATGATAAAGAAGGCTGTTGAAAATATAAAAAAGTTGAGAACTCGTAAAGGCTTTAATAAGTTGCTTCCTTGACATGAAAGTAAACTGAACAAAATTATAACAAAACAACCACTTTAGACCAGCTCCTCTCAGACCTTTGAAAAGAGGCTGAAATTGAGGGATTCAAGGAGGACAAAAGGTGAAGGATACCTTGTTAATTGTGATCTGTAAAAAAAATCTCCAAGGCAACCACCTTTCACTAAAACAAATATTTTAAAGTGTCAAAATTGGGCCAAGAGATATATGAAAATTGACTTCTCTAAAGTAATTTTCACGGATGAATCTCAAGTGCCATTTGATGGACTTGATGGATGGGCCAAAGAATGGATTTTATCCAATTCAGATATGCCTGTGGCTAAAAGAAGGTGATAGTATTATGATATGAGCTAGAATTGTCAACCAAACCATTACTGGACCATTCAAAGTCAATGAAGGAGTTAAACTGAACAGTGCTAACTATTGTAATTTTATGAACAAGACTTTCTTTGCATGATACAAATTCCAGTCTCGCTGTTTCAAAGTAAAGTGTGTATTTTACAATGCTCCTTCTCATGTATCTAAGCTTACCTGTGAATTATTGGTGCATAAAAGATTTACAGGAGAGAAGATAATGAAATGTCCACCATCAAATTCTGATCTGAATC